TCATCTGCATAAGTCAAGTTTAATTTCTTATATGATGTATATATATCAGAGCAAACAGTTGGGTGATTTTCTGCCCATTTTTGTTCATTTCATTTATTTATTTCTAAAGCACCAAAAGGCTATACAATGATCCCTCGTTTATCGCGGTAGATGCGTTCCAGACCTGGCCGCGATAGGTGAAAATCTGCGAAGTGGGGACACCATATTTACAGTATTTATTTAACAGGTACGTATTCAGTATTCAGACTTTTAAAACCCTCCCTTTACTTGTTTTTTTTTTTATAGTTTTATTATAAAAAGTGCATTTTATGATGCAATTGATGAAAAAAAAACAGGAATTTCTTGATATTTCGTATAGAAAAATATCGCGAATCGGTGAAAAATAACGCAAATCGGCGAATTTCCCTTGAATAAGGCTCCAAAGAAAAAATCCGAGAAGTTGTGAATCCGCGATAAACGAACCGCGAAGTAGCGAGGGATCACTGTACATAAAAATACATTAGGAAATATTTGAAAATAAAGATAAACAACTGGACTAAAAATGCAAAGATCAGTTAAAAACCAAACAAATCGGTCACTGTGAGTATTTCATGCAGGCTGAACATGAAAACAGTCTCCTACACCTATCTCCTGCATTAGCTTCTGACAGAAAACAGACGGTGAAACTCTAGGATTAGAAAAGCCTGACAGATCTACGTCACACTGTCACCCAAAATTCATGGACTCACCCATCAGGACTCACAACGGGAAAGGTTATTGTTGGTTTAGCGTCCAGGAAACAGCAGAGAACGTCTCGGCTAGTAGAAGCTAACCCTTAGCATTAGTAGCTCCCCCACACAGCAAAACTTCTCCAGGCTTGTGTTATTTGTGGAGATAAAACATCAACGTTGCAGAGCAGAGTCAGTGGTAGAGTTGTGTTGCTGTTAACCAATCAGAGGTGAGGAAACAAGACTCCAAATGCTGTTGTCTGAAGCTCAACTCTGATGTGGCTCACTTGTAGATCTCGAGAATAGCGCACCAGAGCTTTGTTTTCCCAAAGTACGAATTAAGCATTCATTCCCACTAGAAACCACTGCTAAAGTACTGATCAACTGAGTGAGCCACATCTTTATATTTAAGACCCTCTAGTTAGCAGACAGAGTGCGAGGTTGGTCTGGCTTTGAAACTTTGTTGGTGATTGTCTAATACTGAGCGGGAGTGGGGAGAGACTCAGGGCCAAAACTGAAAAAGCACGATTCCTGCCTCGTTTAGAGGCTTCTGCAGAGCCTGATGAGCTGTTGCACAAGTGATTCAACCACTAAATCAAGTGTGTTTTGAGCAGAGAAACCACTAAAACATGCTCGATACCGACCCTCCAAGCCCGGAATTGAATACCCTTATCTAAAGGCTGAATTTTGCACCTATTGCAACACAGACAGCTACTGTCTGCAACAATTACTTTCTGGTCATAGACAATGTTCATCAAGGCTCTGCTTTAGGCTCTTCACTATTTATACTGACAAGTCCTACTGAAATATATTTAAATCTATTTTCCTTCTAAATTACATTTATTTTCATTTAATTATCTTATCAAAAAAAAGATCTATTCTTGAAAAAGAGAAAAAAGCCATTTTACTTTGTATCACAGAGAGGTGTTGACCCCTGACCAATCCCCAATCTTTGGCCATCGTTCATCCTGTTTTATCTCCCTATACTTGCAGCCAAAATAAAAACACACGCATCTTATTCATGTCCTGTTTCTGCGTAGGGGAACCCTGGCGCTGTTTGCATCATTTCATAAGCATCCTGCAAATTTGGTGTAGCTCAAAAGCCCCCTCTGTCCGTTCATCATCAATGCACTACTGATTAGCACATCACCACAGAGAAGCAGTTGGCCATTCATTCAGGTTTCAAAGGCAATGACGCAAATCCCTGACCTGTTCGGTGGCCCAGACATGTTCTTTTGGACCCAAGCCCTCTTGCTGCCACACACCCCGGCCTGGCTCTCACACAATTTGGAGCAGCTGACACGCAGCCGGAACCTCCACAAGGTCCAAGAAACATTTTGAGATCTTTCTAAGGCTCTCTTCGCATGATGCGTTTCTGACTTTGTCATATCAGCAGAATGTTGTTATGTAACAGTTTTATTTTTCATTTAGATCCCAGTTCAGTCAGTTAGATCTTACAACAAGCTAAAGAATACCTTGTTTCATCTAACATTCACATTATCTCTGCTGGCTTGTAGAAGTGAATCAGAAACATTTGGAGCAGATCAGCCAGATTTTGCTGTTGCTGTTTTCTCCTCCTGCTGCAAAAGAGGCTGAGCACCACATTGAAACATGCAACCATGCATTAATACCAGTGTAATAACATCAGATTGTTCATGTGAAGGTTTTCATGTCTTCTTTCTACATTTTTCTTATTGGTCTAAGTGCACAACAGATTTTATCTCTAACCTATAAATTACTTATTTTGTTAATGAAAATGTATTTTAAATGTTTTTTCTAAATTTTATAACTACCTGGGGTTTCTGCTCAGTCATCACTTTCACAGTTTGGTGCATTCACAACAGGATTAAACAGTTAGTGCAACCTGCCCAACATGTAGTCGTTTGGGCGCACCCTAGTGGTAGTTTCAGGTTCATTTCATCTAATGGCATGTGCCTTTGGACATGAAGCAATTGAGTAAGCACAAATGTCTGCAAAACTGTCACATTTGACTTGTTTTTATCATGTCTGCCAAAATGAACTATACCTGTACAGGCTGAAGAGTCGTTGTTCATACAACTTATAATCTTCATTTCATTGTCAAACACTGAGTTCGTTCATTTTCAAAATATCTGTATGTTTCCATGAAAATGTGCATGAATAACTTTTCTTGGGTGAACCTTTTCTAGCATTAAAAAGCTGTGTGTGAACTATTAGTTGCAACCAATGATAAGCCTCTTCTTCAGTCAGTCACTCACAGTTGAATCACATTTAGCCCCCTCTTTTCAAGTATGTTCACGTAAGTAGTTGGTTCAGCCTCTTTCTGTCTTGGTCAGAGCCGCCTTCACCGCAACAAACCACAGCAGCATGAATAACAGAGCCAGCAACAGAGGTGAGAAGTAAGCAAGGTAAAAAGAAACCTTTAAAAAAGTACCAACAATGCAGTTAGAGGTGGGAAGTAACTCAGAATGACCTCAGTCTCCTCGGGAGGTGGAGGCAGCTTTGGCCCTTCTTAAACAGAGCATCTGTGCAGTTACATACGCACTGACAGGCATCTAAGTCAGCCCAGATGGATCTTATTGTAATAAGCTGCGAGTCTTTATCCTGGTTTATATGTACGTTAGAAAACCGGCCTCTCTGATACTGCAGGTGGTAATATGCGCCTTTTCATGTTGGCATTCTGTTGGTTAGCTTATAGCAACACAAGCAGTAAACAGAGGCTGGTGGGAGTGAAGCAGACAGAACTGAAACAGGATTTGCACAATGGCTGAAGGAATGTACAACAACAATGCTGCAGCACAGCTATTTGGTACATACAGCCCTGTTTGATACGCGTGTTCCTTTATGATGATGGACTTGTCAGAAGACTGCTTCCGCAGTCTCGTCATTTCCGGAGTGTGAGTGTCCAACCAGTTCAGTTTGGTGAACCTGTTTCCATTCAGGATGTATTTGGATTGCTACCACTTTATCAGGGTGCTTCAGCTCGATTAGAACCAGTCCACTGTCAGCCAGACTAACATATTTACATGCATTAAAAAAACAACAACGATGCAAGTCTTTTTAGGGCAATACTTTGGTTTTCTGATCCACATGTAAACAAACTGAGAGTTGTGGGACCAGTTCAGTTTCCTGTTGAGGTGAACACCCGGGTACTTAAACGTATCCACCACCTCAATGTCTGCTCCCTGGATGTTTACTGGTGAGTGAGGAGGTTTCTCTGGAAGTCAGTCACTATTTCCTTTGTTTTACTGATGCTTAAGTGAAGGTGGTTACACTTACACCAGTACACCTGTGCTCCAGGTCAGTTCCCCCAGATTCCCATCCCAATAATCTGAGAACTTCTGGAGGTGACAGCTGCTGGTGTTGTAGGTAAGTGATTAAAACATGTCTTATATGTAGACATTTCTCATTTGTTTTGCACTATTTTTGGAGACAGCAAGCCAGTTTGTATGTTTTGTAATTTTACATTAAGTGTACCACATGGGGGAGCCTTCACACAGTCAGAGACAGCAAGGTCACTGTACCAATACTGTTTTACAAAATGTTTTAAATAAACGCTACACTGTTTTATTCTCCTTGAGATATTTTAATAATCATATATTACTAAAAAATGTTGTAGTGTAAGGAGATCAGGGTGTTAAATTATGACCAATAAGATGTGATGATTCTATATAAATATAGAATATCAACCTGATTGATTTTTGAATGTTTAACCAGAAGAATTTAGGATTCTTTGCTTATTAAGTGACCATTAACACACTTCGTATTAATTCAGACAGAGTCAAGTATATAATTAAAATAAACTTTATATTCTAGACTAATTATAATACATGACAATCAATGAATAATGATGTGTAATGTAATGTAATGTGATGATGGAATGTGATTTTCATCAGAACCTTTGTATCTGGAAGAAACTGTGAGTTCTGGGTGTAAAAGAATTGGTTGTCTGCTATAAACTAGAGAGTTGATGATTTACATAACGGCATCAGACACAATCTTGTTGCGTCTACGTACCCTTGGGAGACCCTCTTTTGGATCTGAGATGTCCGGGGGGGAGGGGGGGTGACCCCCAAGGCATTGAGGGTCGTAGATTAACCGCAATGCGATCAGGTCAGTCCAGAGTCATCTCCAGGTCACAACAGCATGAAGGTTAGTTGCATCTAAGGATGGACTCTTAAGGAGTCCTGCTGTGTCAGCTTTGCAGCGTGCAAACAGGTTTTGACTGTATGTCAAGGAGATGTTTCAAAAGAGGCTGGTTCCGGATTGGCCTCTCCGGAGTGTCAGCTGGAAACAAAACTTACTCAACTCGGGAAGTGATCTGAGTTTTATTAATTCCTGTGTTATGAATTTCTGGCAAATCACAACGTGCCATGTTAAGGAGGTTTTGCCAAACAAACCTCAGAAATACTCCTTCAGATAGAAGATGCTCTGATTAGAAAATCTCTATTTGTCGTGGCATTTTCTGTATCGTTGTGTCATGGAGATATGCACGTGTGTGTGGGCTTGTCAAGTAGACTGATTATAAAACAAACAAATCATTGCAAGGACACATTCATTTCAACCTTATTAATTTAGGCACAGATTAATCAAAACATTTCATTTAACCCCTTGTTCATACTTATATGATTATTTACGTATTTCATTTCATCATTCAGTATTCATTATTATAAACATTCATTCTTTATAATGGTTCGATCCTTTATTGTTTGCAGGACAGACTAGATAAGCAGACAGGCTTGGCAGAAAGACCTTGGTGAAGGGAACACTGTTAACAATCTCTATGTCAACAACACTGTACCTGTCTTGCAGCTTGGAAGATTAGACGGCACACAGAGGCAGAATTATGTCTGTAGATGACCGGATACTGAAGAGGTCAAACTGTACATGAAAAATGACCATTCCTGGACGCTTACACTGTATTAGTTTACCAAATATTGCTCAACGTGTGTTGAGCCCATCCAAAGATAGCACGGGGATAATAAAGGAGTTTTTCTGAAGTACACGTGAAGAGTCCTGAGAACATGTTCCTCACTCTGACTGGAATATGAGCGGCAAATTTTTCATCAACCTCCACATTTGTCAAAGGTTTGCAGTTTTCTAAATCTGTAAAGAGAAATAAAAAGTTCTGGAAACTACTGAGAGGAAAACCCCTTCCCTGTGACAACACAGACAATAAAAAATCTAAAAGCATAAAACAGCTATAAGTTATTTTTATAATTCATAAGCTTATGTACCTCTAAACAATCAAAACCATGCATCAAATCTCACCGAAATCAGCGTTCAGGACTTGAGGTCTGTACATGCCCAGACAATCTGCTTGCACCTCAAACTCTTTCATCTCTGCTGAGGTGACGTTTGGTCTTTTACCTATTTGGGAGTGAAACATTTGACATAAAATCCATTTGTAGAATAAACCAGTGCAGTATACACACATGCTGTGATTTATTGTTGGCCAACAGCTGAGGCAGAACAGCCTGAAAAATAATTTAAAGTAACACTCAAACATTTTTTAAACCTTGAGCTAGAGCTTTAACATTGATATCAGTTATTTTTGAGTTAGAAACTTGGCCAGTTTCATATTTGACACAACTCTGTGTCACGATGCGGTGGTGTGGACCCAAAATGCAGTACCCAGGATGACACGGAGGCAGGGATGAAGATTTTAAATAAAAAGTCTTTATTTTGTGGGTGAGCAAAAAACCAAGGTAATCCAAACTGGGAGTCAAAATCCAAAAAGCCAAAAATTCCAAAGGTCAAAGAGCAGATTATTATCTGGGAATCAAGCAACTCTGGTTAAACACAGAGGGACTAAACTAACAGAATCAACAAACATTAATGGACCGACAAGAACACAGAGACAGACAGGGCTTAAATACACTGGGAGGAGCAATCAGGGAAAATGGCAGCAGGTGTGTGAAGTGAGAGCTGGAGGGAAGACAGGTGAACCTAATAATCAAAATGGGAAACAGAAACAGAGGGCCAAATAACCCTAAGAAACTAAGACACCAAAACTAAACCTAAAGGCTGCAGGAAGGACTAACACACACACACACACACACACACACCAATGTACTTATATATAAACAGGAAAGGGGAATGGACAAGCACACACACACACACACACACACACACACACACACACACACACACACACACACACACACACACACACACACACACACACACACAAACACTGAGCAGGAGACTGAATCTCACACACACGTTGAGCTGGGGACAAAGAAGCTGGGGACTACAAGGACACAGAATGTAAATGAGACCTGGAGGACCTGGGGATGAATGAGATGACACAAGACCTGGGAGGAATAGACTTAAAGGACTACAAACATAAGACACTAAACTGACACGCAGAAAAGGACACATGAGGGCGCCAAAGAGCTACAACATAAGACACATAACAGGGATGCAGACAAGGACACATGAGGGCACTAAGAGAGCACAAGGGGAGAACCTGGAGTGGAGCACAAGAGGAGCTGGGGAACAAAGGGACACAAGAGGGAATCTAGAGAGGGATGGAGGACACCAGGAGGCACATAAAGGAGGGGGCAGATGCAGACCATGACACTCTGCAGAGCTCTGATGACAAAAAACTTCACTAGATGTTTTTTTGGAGCGGGGAGGTTCCCTACAGGGGGTTAGCTGTGGTTTCTTTGTTGCTAGTGTGACACCCTTAACATTTAACATTTAATAGTTAATTAGTTCCCTCATCCAATCTTTATATATATATATACTAGAGAAACCTGGTTGTTATTCTTTCAAACCTCACCTGTTTTTAGACACAAAATTCGGCCAATACTTATTTGCACCAATAGGTAGCAGCAGTGGTCTAGCTTGAAGCTTGGTTTATGCTTGACGTGTCCATGAGGTTCGCACGGCTCCGCAAGGCAAAATTGCGTCATTTTAACAACCACGCCCCTCCACCGCGTCTCCGCACGGCCCAAACTTTCCGCACCACACACCTAGGAAATTTTCTAACCACGCGGACGGTCGGACGTGAAAAAACATGGCGGACTGGCAAGAACTAGTATGGCAGAGGTTCGTAAATACAGACATTTGTATGATTCAGCTCTCAGAGATCACCGTGATCAACATGTTGTTAATAATTCTTGGAGAGAAATAGCTCGCACTGTCGGAAAAGATGAGGACGCTGTTAAAAAACTGCTGTAATGCCATGTTGTAAACAACAGTAATTTCTACTTCTACTATGGTGTAGTGTTGGATGCATGCTGTAGAGCTCCATGCTGCCCCGTTCAGTTTGGGAGAATATTGGCTCACCGCAGAGACAAGCCGCATGAACCATAAATGCTGCGAGTTGTGAAGCGCGTTCCATCCGCGAGCCGCATCACCAAGCGGAAAGTGAATGTGTCAAGCATAAACCAAGCTGACTGGCTGATGCTTCGATGGAACTTGGAGCAGAAGAAGTAGGCTACCAGTGAGAAGCTCAGCCAGGAGATGCACAGCAGTGAACTGCTGCTCACTTAAAGCTCTGTTCTGTGTTAAAGGTGAGGTTAAACACACAGACCATTTAAGAGGGTTTTATGGTGCCTTGTTTCAATGTGTATAAATGGAACTAAGTAGCCATATCGTCAGAGTTTGTCAGCAAAGCTCTCTTAGCATCTGAAGCTAAGTGGCTGCTGCTCGGGGTAGGACAATGACGTCACTTCCGTATGTTACGGCGCGGTTCTGTGATCGATATTGTTTATTGTTAAGGACAGAATATGATGTTTGCTACCAAAATGGCACTTTAAAACGATGTTTGTATTGGAGATCCTTGAGTTTGTCATTGCTAACTTTGTATGTGCTTTGCAAACTGTATGTATAATGTATATTGTTAGTTTAGCTTTAGTCCAAGGAACTTGGAGCAGAAGAAGTAGGCTACCGGTGAGAAGCTCAGCCAGGAGATGCACAGCAGTGAACTGCTGCTCACTTAAAGCTCTGTTCTGTGTTACAGATGAAAACAAACCCTTATGGCACCGGAATAAACGTTGTCATCATTCCTTACACTAGCCCGCAGGAAATATCTACAAGAAAGTTCTACAGAAAGAAGCAAAGGGTCCTCAGAAATGTTGCTAGGCGCAAGGAACAGCGACAGAGTTGCTAAGTTGGCAACACTGCCGCTAAGCTAGATGGCAAACGCTACAGGCTATGCTTTAGCATTAATAAAGGGACGCTATTGTAAAGTGTTACCATTTATTCCTGTAATTTTTCACTTTCAAACTATAATACTTACTGAGAAGAGCAACCATGTTAACTAAGCCATCCTCTCTGATGACAAGGCAGTCTTGACATCGACTGGAAATAATCGCACCTTTTTGAGTCTTTGGGACATCTGTTGAATCACCAGATGAGTCATTTTAAAACCTTACTTCAGACTAGATAAAAATGTCATATAATCACACACTCACTTATCAAAATATTTTAAAATAATAAAAACATTAATGGAAACAAACTTTAAAGATTATTTAAAAATGTATTCAAAGAAATGTAAAAAAAATAAAACCTAAAAGTTTATAACTAATTTGATTGACATAATTCAGACCATCAGACCATGTAATTTGAAGCATCAAAAATAAGTTAAATGTAGTCAAAATTAAGCGTGTGACTTATCACTCTTTCAGCTTTTTGAAGTTGTTACCTTAAAGTTTTACTGCAAGTGCCTGCCACACCAAGAGACACCTGATGCACCAATGATGGTACAACTGTAACAGAATCGCACTCTAGTGTACGAAACACCAAATTCTCACCGTCGATGGATCGAACTTCAACTGCCATGTTGCTCTTTTGGAAGAATTGTATGCTTTTACTGTCACAAAACTCAGATCTGCAGAGGATTTAGAAACTCAAACATTCAGGAAGTATAGAGAGCCGCAAGCTCTGATAAAGTTCTTCATTATATTTTTATTGGTAAATATCAATACTTACACTTTTAATGTAAAGTTGACGTCATAGTAGTGTGGTTTTCCAGCTGAGGTAACATCCAGTTGAATACTTGGAGCAAGGACAGTATTGAACATTGACGCTACCCAGCAGTAGTTTGAGGACAAAGCTATAACGTACCATCTCCCAAGTACCTAAAAGAAAATGAAGAAGACTTGTGATGATTGTTTCCTTTGACTTTTTAAACATCTTAAACTTTTAACTCATTTCATTTTTGATGAGACTTACCTCTGGATCTTGATCCATTGGTTGCAGCAACATTTCACAGGCCAACGATGAAGGCCGACATGCTGAGATGAGACTCAGTGCAACAACAGCAACACACAAAGTCTTCATGGTGCCTCACAAGAGCTCTCCTCTCTCGCTCCTTTAAGTCTGAATGCAGCTGACATCATTGACCAATCATTTCATTACTGCTCTTATCCACCCCTTTCCAGTTAAACTCAACATTGATTCTAGGTCAGATCCATGTTTACTTATGAGACAAATCAGTGTGTGTGTGTGTGTGTGTGTGTGTGTGTGTGTGTGTGTGTGTGTGTGTGTGTGTGTGTGTGTGTGTGTGTGTGTTGTTAAAGCAAAGTTGACATCCCTTTCTGACCATGATGTGATGCTAATGAAGGGATCAAAGTATTAATACACGACACTGCATGCCAGAAGAAGAAGAATTAGCAGCGCCTGACCAACACACTTTCAGCTCCCCGAACCAACACACACACACACACACACACACACACACGCGTGCGCACACACACACCCACACACACACACACACACACACTTTGCCCCGTCTCCTTCACTAAACCTCCAATCACATGATTGCCTTATACCACACACACACAAATACACAGAGCAGAGGAAAACAAATACAACATTTTAAACATGAACTATACTGCAGGGTCGCTACAATATTATTATATCAGTAATGAAAATTGCTAATGTGTGCAGCATAATGACTTAGCACATTGCTCCATTACCTGTTCTGAGCCCTGCAGTCTTTGATATTGGTCACCAATCCAACAACTCATGCTTAATACATGTTGTTTTTGCATCTTTGCTAAAAATGTTTCCTAGCAATAAGAAATGGCTTTTGAACCAACAATGTATTTTACACCTTGTTGTAATTCAGTTTTCAATGTTTTGTTCTTGCTGCATGGTCACAACATTTATCCACAAGTTCAGCATCATTTCAGAGAAAAACAAATGAGGTCTGTGAAATTCAAGCCAGGCACCACTCGATAAAGGATGTGGCTTTGTAGTTTATTTTGTTAAGCAAAATGCTTAACCCTAACCTTAACCTTAACCCTCAGAGCATTGTAACGACTGCACTAAGCAACATTTCCATGCATAGGACAGACCCAGAAATGAGTGGTAAATTAAACAGTTCAGTAACTTCCTGAGTTGGGTTTATTTTGTCAACTCGGATGCACGCCATCATTACCAGCAAGCATCAGTCAGAGAGTGAGCACCATGAGCACGGGAGAGCTTATTTACACCTCAGTGGAGGCTCTCATTGCCATTAGCTGCATTCTTGGTAACATGCTGGTTATTTTGTCTCTGTGGAAAACTAAAAGCATCCAGCAGCCCACCTTCTGCCTCATTGTGTCTCTGGCTGTGTCTGACTTCATGGTTGGAGCTGTGGCCATTCCTCTGGCTGTAGTGGTGGATGGACGAGTGGAGACTTCATTCCTCACTTGTCTCTTCATCAGCTGTATGATCCTCCTGCTGACCCTGGTTTCAGTCCTCTCTCTGATGGCCATCGCCGTGGACCGCTTCGTGAGAGTCTCCATCCCTCTCTGGTAAAATTGAGCATTTTTTTGTACAGCTTTAAGTAGGAGTCGTAGCTCTCTAATTTATACTTAAATTCAGTTACAAGTCAACACATAACTGTTTCCAGGTACAAACGTACCGTGACATGGAGGCATTCTTATCTAGTGGTGGCTGCATGTTGGATTGCTGCGACACCGCTGAGTTTTACTCCCATGCTTGGATGGCACAAAGACCCTCCTCCATCTTCAAATTCCACATTTCTTTGCCAGTTTGTGAAAGTGATTCCCATGAAGTATATGGTGTACTTCAGTTTCTTTCTCTGCAACCTTACACCTCTTTCGATAATGAGTGTGCTCTACTGCTACATCTTCTGTTATATTCGAAGAAACCTCAGAGACAGGCCAGGAAACGGAGCACATAACCAGTCCCAAACCTACCTGAGGAAGGAGAAGCAGCTGGCAGCATCTCTGTCTCTGGTCCTGGCTCTGTTCGCTCTATCCTGGCTCCCTCTCAACATAATCAACTGTGTTTTTTACTTTAAGGGACCAGATGCTTTACCGGTCCAATTTGTGTATGTAGCCATTGTGCTTTCTCATGCTAATTCAGCTGTGAATCCAGTTGTGTATGCCTTCAAAGTACCAAAAATCAAAGCAGGATATCAGAAGATTTGCAGAAAGTTCATTTTGTGTTCTACTGAAAATGAAGTATCTCAGACCAGCCAAGCAGATAACAACCCCGGCAGTAACTTCAGAAGTGTTAGTAATGACTAAAGGCTTGTTTATTTCAGCTTTTATTTGTTCAGAACACTCACTTTGTGTTTTATTGATTTGATTTAATGCAGGAAGTACTTGTGAAATGTCTGTCTTGTAAAAGTCCAGCAGATGTTTGAGCTCTTGCTTCTGAAATTTCCATTTCCTCGACTCGTTTGGGTGCAAAGCTGAGAGAGCGCAGCTATTCTGGAGTGTGAATTTTTTTATAGACTTGTAGCTCAACGTATTCTGAAAAATAAAAATATTAAAAGAGTAGTCTCAAATCAAGTGGAAGGAAATATGTTCATCAGTGTTAAAAACAGCTGTTTTTCTAATGAAACGAGGTTTTGTTTCGAAGCATCTAAACTGCATTCAAAAGCCAAGTGACTGAAATGGATTTCTGACCAAAGGAAAGGAGAAAATAGCAAAAGAAGATTTCTTTACCACGCGTCAAACGGAGACGAAGGCTTTAAACTTTGACATTCATTTCTGAGCTTGACCAGTAAAATCTCACAATCTTTGCATTTTCTCATAAATCCAATTTTATGACCTCTAACAATGACGATTTTTAACTCAATGTTATTATGATGTAACATAAAAACTATCATGCTCCATATTGGTTTTCACTGTTTGGACTCAGTATATGTTTCTACTGGCTGGTGTTGTTTGTCTGAGAAAACAGTCTGAAAATCTATTTTCAGTTCTTCTAACATTTTTGCGGTAAACTATAACACTTCATACTTTTCAGTTATATTACACAAGTGTCTTGACGATTCTCCAGGGCTGGGTCACGGGGGCAGTAGTCTAAGCGGAAAGGCCAGACTTCCCTCTCCTCAGCCACTTGGGCCAGCTCCTCCAGGGAATCCCAAGGCAGGCCAAGAAACATCTCTCCAGCATGTCCTGGATCTTCCGTTAGGTCTCCTCCTGGTTGGAAATGCCAGGAAAGGTGTCCAGGAGACATCCTGACCAGATGCGCAAGCTACTTCAACAGGCTCCTCTTGATGTGGAGGAGCAGCGGATCTACTCCGAGCTACTTGGTGGGAGAGTGGCTGGCTTCAGAGGAGAGCCGACACCCTGCAGAGAAAACTCATTTCGGCCGCTTGTGCCCACGATCTCATGCTTTTGGTTACTATCCAAAGCTAATGACCATGCATGAGGGTTGGAACGTCGATCAATGATAAATTGAAGTTGCTCTCTCTCTCTTCACAACAGACCAGTGCAACAACCGCATCATCGTGGATGCAGCAACAATCTGCCTATTAATCTTCCACTCCATTTTTCCCCCTCATTTGTGAAAAAGACCCAAAGACACAAACTCCTCCACTTGAGACAGGACCTCGTCCCTGACCAGGAGCAGGCCTTACCTTTTCTGATCTCAGCTGCTTCACAGTTAGCTGAAAACTGCTCCAACAGAAGTAGAAGATCAGTAATGCATCATCTGTAAAAAGCAGAGACCCGATCCTTAGGCCACCAAAAGGCATCACCTTAACACCGTGGCTGTAGCCCTCTCAGTGGCAGCAACTACAGAATGGAAGAGTGTCCAACACTTTTAGAGGGAACAGGTTCCAGAGACAGAGCCATACTTTGAGATGAGTCTGATTACGTCTAGCCAGAGCCTTTTATACCAGCTCAGGCCCTTAAAGCTGGCCAGCACCAAGAGCCTTTGATCACCACCCCCGTTAAAGGTATACCTGACCACCAACTTTGCTGCCAACCTCCTCCTCTTCCTCTTAAACTGGATGTTGACTTAAAGCATTTTCCAGTAAGTGCATGTTTACTCATCAGGCAAAAGCACAAACAGCTCTCTTCATGGTTTGGGAAACAAATCAATAAAGTTCACCAACATAGAACACAGAAGCTGTAAAATAGCTCCAAAAACACTTGATATTCATGCTGAATTATCAAAAACACAAGAGGAATGTTTAATGTTTTTTTATTGTGCACTCTTGTTCACGGTTTGAGGAATTAAATTAATCTGGGTTTTCTTTTGCGACTTAAAAAATGCACCCTTGTTCTTTTATAACTTCAAATGATCACATTAACTATGAAAATGTTCTTGCCCCATTTTTGGCAGTTAAGATCTCAAAGTTTTATCGAGTTGTTCATGTCCCCATTTTAATCAGGTTATCCTCGTTTGCTTTTCAAGAGGAACCTGGCTTACGGCTGATTCTGTGTGTGCACAAAGTCTGAAAACGTGGCTGAAATTTGACATTCATACACAAATGTCAGACCCCGTTTCACACAAAAGCAAGCTTCACGAAAAAGGTCCCTGTTCAATAAAATAAACAGGAACAAAAGCATCCTTGTTTATTTACAAATGCCCTTCTTTGTTTTCATTGGCTGTTTGCTGTAGTGCTGCTGCAATAACATTTTGTTTCTGTTTGGAGCCATGTTTGATACTGAAGAAAAGAAATAAAGCAAATGGGGCATTCAGATCAGCAAAGGCTGTTGTGGAGAAACAGTGGAGGGCTACTGTGTGTGTTTTGTTCAGACATCCCTGCAGGTCATTAGTTTCTAATGGGAAACAGGTTTCAACACAAACGGATGTTTTCCACTTGGTTCAGTGTCTATTTAATATAGTGTAATATTGTTTTGGATGGTAAAAAGTGCAGCGGACAAAAATTGGCTTAGGAAAAAGTGTGTGTGCGACTGGGGGGGGGTCATGCCCCCCCCCCCCCCCCGGTCCACCAACATGCAAGGGCTGTTTTAAATAAAAAGAGCGTGAACATTTAAATGAATTTAAACTCTTACAAAACTGGTTTGTTACAGCGGCACATGCCTGTCTTGCTTAGGTTTGTGTTAACACACGCCTGTATGCTCCAGAAAAGCAGGCCATCAACATTTATGTTTTTATAGGAAGGATCTCACTGATGAAACTCATTTAGACTGATTTACATGAATGTTGTCATTTACATTTGCACTTTTAAAAGGAAATAACAACATGATTCAGAAGAGATGTTTCAGTGTCGAAGGGATGAAAGCTTGTTCCGTAGTCAAGGGCATGAAGAAAAACTTCAGTTTTCAGAAGTGGTGGAAAAGGACTTAATAAACGACTCTACAAGGCAGCTGATAAAACTTTGGTGGGTGGTTTTCACTCTCTCAAACAATCCAACAAGAACGTTCTTCAGCACATCTGAAGCCTCCTCCTCGGATATATTCTCATCAATGAACTGGCATTTGTCATGTTCTGCAAAGAGAAATGTTGTTACGTGCTTGAATATTGAAAAGTCTAACTAATAATAACCATCAAACATAAATGACTTATTAGTTTTCAATACTTTTTCAAGCATGTTTTATTGTAATTGCCATGCACCACAGTTTCTAATTGAAAATGTTTAGTTGATAATAAAAGTCTCACCATGGTCTGAGTTTAGAACCAAAGGCTTGGACCAGCGACGGCAATTTGTCTGCTGCTCAAACTCCTTCATCTCAGCATCAGAGATGGTCTTTCTCCGACCTGGAAACAAAGCACCAAATAAAAAAAATAAGATACTTTACTTCTAGAATATACTTCTGTGCTGTATATTCACTCAGATGTTCAAAAAAACTCTAAAGATGCCAACAAACAGGCAACCAAAGCAAACCAACAGAAACTGCTTTATGTAAATGGTAAATGGCCTGTATTTGACATAGCTCCTTCTAGAGTCCTGGAACCCCCCAAGGCACTTTACAACACATCCAGTCATTCACCCATTCACACACTGATGGTGATGCACTACGGTGTAGCCACAGCTGCCCTGGGGCGCACTGACAGAGGCGAGGCTGCCGAGCACAGGCGCCACCGGTCCCTCCGACCACCACCAGCAGGCAAGGTGGGTTAAGTGTCTTGCCCAAGGACACAGCGACAGACTGAGCGGGGCTCAAACCTGCAACCTTCCGATTACGGGGCGAGCACTTAACTCCTGTGCCACTGTTGCTTTAGGCAAAGACATCAAGAGTAGTAGTAATAATAATAATAATAATAACAACAACAACAATAAAAAATATTAATATCAATATTAATATTGATATTGATAATAATAATAATGATAATAATAATACATCAAACTTATATACGTAGCACTTGTTTAGGACACTCAAAGACGCTTGCATGCATTCTCACATTCACACACTGCTAGTGATGGTAAGCTACTTTGTAGCCACACTGCCCTGGGGAGGTCTGACAGAGGCGAGGCTGTCATTTGGCGCCATTGGCCCCTCTGACCATCACTAACACAGGCAAATTGGGTGAAGTGTCTTGCCCAAGGACACAACAGCAGAATACCCCTGGAGGGAGCTGGAATCAAACCCATGACCGTCCGATCATGAGGCAACCCGTTCTACCTCCTGAGCTACTGCTGCCCAAGTAGATGTTTTAAAATTGAACTGGAAAGATGGAAAAGCCTCCGATAAAGAGAAATTCACTGATTAATATTTGCTTATCTAGCAGGGTAGAGCTATCACTCTTAGGGGAGCAGGTGTTACGACTGTCTGTACTACTCGTTGATGTGTGATATTTTAGGGAAATGTGCAGACCAGCTATGTCACAGGCTGTTTACCTGAGGAGACGCGCTACCTCTGGAAGTTGTTATATCACTGCCTGTTTTATGTTTACCTGACAGGTCAACGTTTACAAGCATGCTTTTTTTCTCTATTTATCTTTGAATTTTCTTACTGAGGAGAATAAGAGAGTCGACGATGTCGTTTGACTTTATAACGATGCAGTCGGGGCAACTGGTGTACAGCATCACATCAGCATCTCCAGTTGGGACGTCTGTTGGAACCAGTGAGAGTTTAATGCATGAACAGAAGTTTAAATTGTGCAACAAAAGTATTGCTATAACCCTGCAGCTTTAGCAAACATATTGTAAAAAGCAGGTGATGCCAACATTTTTGACGGTTAAATAATACACAAAAATTCGGGATTTAAAAGTTTAAATATTTTGCTTTTAAATCCTTAAAATAAAGTACCTGCACGACAGAGAGTCAGCTTGCAAAAAGTGTATGAATAAAAAAACACTACAGTCTACAGACAGAAGTTTAAAAGCTCATAGTAGGAAAAGTTCCTACTCTGGTCGTTGACGTCAAATATTTTGTTGTTCTCATACTTATAGGCCTCAGAGTCATTGAAGCAATATCCGTACCTGAGAAAAAACAGTAAGATTTAAATTAAAAATTGTGCATTTAAAGATTGATTTGAACATTAAAATATGTCTAAAATAGCAAATGAATAAAGTGTCCTACATTTTGACCACAGACATGCCATCGTAGATGTTGGGTGTGTCTTTAGCAGTGATTTCCATGGCTAAACTCGGCCAAAAGAAAGTATTCAGTATTGATGTAGGCAAGCAGAGCTCTGTTGACAAAGCTATGTAGTGCCATCGTCCGGACAACTGAAATGACAGAAAAAAAAAACAGTTTGAATATAATACAACTGAAAGATGATTATAAATGAAGCTCAAGAAAGAAAATACCAGAGAAACTCGTTTAAAATCCACAGGATCACTCATGAAGGGTAACAACTTACTTCTGGGCCTTTCTCTGCTGGAGTTAGCAGCTTTTCACAGGTCAGGGGTGCAGCTTGGCTTGCTGAGACGAGGCTCAACACAACAGCCACACACAAAGCCTTCATGGTGTGTCCGTGCAGACTCCCGTTCTGACTCTATCAGATCCACTTTTATTGCCCTCCCTGACCAATTGTTGTCCTCTTTCCTCCAACCACCCACTTCCTTACCGTAAAAAGGGAGAAAAGTTCATGTTGAATCTGGAGTTACGCCACTGATCTCTATTTATGCTTATCAATTGTTTTGCAAATATCACCTGTTTGTAGAGTCACTGACACTGCAGCCGAATCTGTGCTTTTTAAGGCTTTTATTTGTGCATTTTCTGCTGCAAACTAAAACAAAATCAACTTCACATTCAACAGTTTTTCTCTAAAGCCTGACTCAGCGTTTTTTAATCCATTTTATCTTTTTTTCAATAAACACTAATTTTCTTTTTAGTTACCAAAAGCTTTCTTTGAATTGCTCCTTTTTCTTCACAATTATTGTCCAGGAAACACCTTGACTGAAGAGTTTTTAATGACTTCTGATGCATGATTGGGGCCTGTAAAGCCTCTAAGAGTGATTTTGTTTTCGTTCTTGCATCACTAGACTTGTGAAGGGAACACAGAATTCGAAGCCTAATGGAACCGGCATCCCCTTGTAGCTGAAACAGTCCTCTCACCTTCATGTCAAAGGACAGTTTCGTATGAAGCTCAGAAACCTGCCATAGCAGGAACGGTTTTCCTAAAATCACTTGTATTTACAGATGGGTTGGAGAAATACATGGTTGTATAGTTTTACTGTAACGTTTTTGAAATAATGTGAGGTGAGATTTAAAGAAATGATTTCCTCTTGCAAAAACAATCAAGTCTTTGAACTTTATTCAACAATTAAAATATCCTTAATACTTCCAAGATTTTGAACCTCAGACTGTACAAAGCCCAAGGACACAACATCACTGTCAGGGGTCTGGGTCCAGGATTCCTCAAGTTCTTGGTTTTTGTGCTCATCTCTCCTTAGTATGCAGGCTTGCCTCCGGGTGCTGTGGTGACGCTCTTTGGCTATCTCCAGCTTCTCAGCTGCACACCTGCAAATCACCTCACAACCTGCCTAAGAGGGTAAAAGGATCAGGAAGCCAATTGCATTCTGCCAGAATGTTGCACCTTGTGGTAAATCCAGCCTTCTAGCCGTCCAGCCTGAAATCTTGATCCAGTCTTTTGATACTTGTGTCCTGTTTCCACTAACCAGCCCCTAGGAAATCATCTGCACTAGCTTCTACCTCCTTCTTCCCATCGAACACGTGGCAGCACATTCTCAGCTGTCTACACTCCATCTCCACCCGTGCGTCACCTGCTCCGCCCTCACCGACAATCGTAAGAAATGCCTCATCATAATTCTGGACCAGCTATTGATCTTTCAGCCTAACCCCCAGTGCATACGGATCTTTTCATCATTGGACCCTTGACTCACCTACTCTCCAGTCACTCAATTCATGCACTCAGTAAGCTGCTCAATTACCTTCAATTCTCAACTGTCAGTTGCTTCTGCTCACCTTCACTTCCCCTTTCAGAACCACCTAGTGCCCTGACCTCTGGGACATCCAGCGTCACATCCTCCCTTATAAATGAACCTTTTCAATGCAATTACATCTCTTAAGAGTTAATCTGCATGTGGGTCAAACAAATGAATAAAATCATGACAATCCCAATTAGTTGGAATACCCTCTGATCACTGACCTGCTCCACCTCCAGAGTCAGATTCACTGCCACCCAATAATGCAGGAATTAATAATGCTGAATCCTGACTTGAATAAAATGTGGAGTTCTACATGGTTGAATATTAGGACCTGTTTGTTTTACAGTACATACATATTAATGTCTTTGGTGCTGTTGGACAGAACAATTTGCTGCTGCAGAGAGGAAGCAAAGCAGATGGGACGTTTGAAAGGGGGGGGGGGGGGGGTCCTCAGCTTTGTCAGGAAAAGTTTGTAGAGGAACAGAGGAGGGCTGAGGGGTACTTCATCCACTGAGACATCTCTGCTGGTAGTATGACGCAAGAGTTCTGGTTTGGAAAAACATTTTAGCAAGTGGTTGTGAAGGTTGTCAAAATTATATTTGAGCCTTAATCAGAGTAAAACTGAGGTCAGTTTATTTCCCAGGAAAAGTTCTTGGTCTCTTATCATTGGCCCTGAGTGACGAGACTGTGATCACTGATTTGGGTGTCGATTTAGATTCCTCTCTGGCACTTGACACCCACGTGAATGCAGTGTTAGATCTGGTTTCTTTCAGCTCCCACTGCTTTCTAAGAAAAAGCAGGTGCTTTCACGACAGAACTTGGAAATTGTGATACGTGCTTTTGAATTGGGTAGGCCTGACTATTGTTATTTCCTGTATGCCTGATGGGATCAGCCAGACTCCAGGTGGTTCTCCAGTCCCATGCAGACACAGCCCCACCTTATCAGTGCTTCTTGAGAAATATTTTCCATCCAAATCACTTCACTCTGGTGGTCTGTCTCTCAAACCTGTGCTGTGATGGCCCGAAAACTGTGGAACTGCCTTCCAAATGACATTTAGCAATCTACCTCCCTTTGTAGTTTTCAGGGCTGCCTGAAGCGGCACTTGAGGTTTCTGTCTCTCTTAGACGACTTTTACTTTAGCTTTGCTGGAAGTATGATGGATTACAACAGCTTACTTTTCTAAGGCTGGATTTGTTTTTAAGTGATGCATCGGTTATCACACATTGATGCGTTGTTCTTCTTTACAATGCTGATTTCATTCAATGAGTTTGGTTTCTGCACGGCCCTCTGGGGACCTTGACTTGTAGATTCATCAGCGTGTTAGGAAATATTACCCCACTGGGTTTGGGACACGTTTTAGCTGTGTCTGATTACAAAGATCCCATCTGAACTGCAGAGGAGTTTCTAGCTGACTCAACAACTGCAAGGACTCTAAAATAAGCCCAAACCACCAGTCCTCCCCCACTGTGCTGAAAGTTAGCATAAGTTTGAAAAACTAAAGGATAAACTTTACAAATGACCTTAAACCCGTCTAAAATTGACAATTGCAGATTGTCTTTCTCATTTGGGTGTGTGTAAATAAAAAACCAAATAAACAAATAAAATGCGCTTTTAACACCCTCCCTGACCAATTGTTTTTCTTTTTTTTCAAACCACCCACTTTCTTGCTGCAAAAAAAAGTGTACATTGAACATAATTTTACCACTCAGATCTCCATTTATCTTCTCAAAACATGGTCTTGCAAACATCGCCTGTTTGTAGGGTCACTGACACCGCAACCAAAGCTGTAAGGACTTGATTCTCATTAGTGCATTTCCTGCTGAACATTTTGATGTTTGAATGCAATCACATTGGTTGCAATGCCACTAAATAATCGCAAAGGGCCATAAAAATCCTGTGTGTACACAAACAATAGAAAAAGAAACAAGATGATTAACTTGTTAAAATTAAAAGTTAAATCCAATTAAGATTTAACTGTTATGAAACATGAGCAAAATATCCCAAAGTGTGTAAATAAAAATACAATTTTTAAATCAGAGTTTTGTGGGATAAAACTTTGTTGTCCTAACTTGAAATGTTTGCGTTTGGCAACATGTTTGCTGTAATGTCACTAAATAGCCACAGGAGGGCGACAGTGTCACGACCCAAAATTAAATGCTTACTTGTCACAAATCTCATCATAACACTCCTGTGGAAGGATTTGTGGGAGTTCACGTCATGAATATCCCTTTAAGGATGCAGACCAGTTTCAGCGTAAACACAAAATCTTTAACTACCAATTTTTTCAACATTTTACGTGTTTTAGGTGAAGTTTTCTTTATTCCGGACTCAGTCCAATTCACTGAAGTAGAAAAACATACAGATAAGATCAAATGAAATTAGCCCAATATGACATACTTACGCACAAGAGACAAATCATCACGAAAAAACTAAAACAAGAGACAATAATAACAGAAGTGTGAAAATAAAGCATACATTATTGTAGCTCCCTTATCTACAAAAAGAAGAAGTCTGTTAAACCAGTGTTTCCACATTTTTGACTGGTAACGTAGTGCACTGACACAGGTACGGGTTAGACTTAAAACAATCACACTTTTTAGATTTGTTCATCCTACAAATTCATAAATAACATTTCTTAAGACAGCTTGTAGGGCGCTCACCCTCGCATTTACAAACGTCTCACTGGGCTTCCTCAATATCAAACGCAGAGCATCATTATAGGCAACCTGCAGCACACTACATTTCTGATAGTTAGTCCATATGTAGGTTATCTTTACTTTATCAGAACAAGACCCAAACTTACAAGCAAGTGTGTTTCCCTGACCACATAACATACAGCACTGCCTGTACATGTCATCATCATCTCTCATGTCCTCTGTGATGATATGACCAAGTAGTTTTACTGTCTTGGTGACAGTAATCACTGAGTCTGACAGGTTAAAATCTGGAAACTTCATTTGCTCGTCCTCCTTGGCCCGGCAAATCATAACCACACTTTTAGCTGCATTATAAACATTGTTGTGTTCTCCTCCATAGTCAGAGCAGATATCTAGTAACTGCTGTGGACCAGCGGTCCTCGGACTCAGAACTCAGAACCACTAAATCATCTGCATGCATCAGATAATTTATGACACCACCACCAGCTGCACATCCAGCCCTGCAGGCCTTTAACCTCACTGATAATAATAATACTAACAATAACAATAATAATAATAATAATAATGCATTTAACTTATATAGCGCTTGCTTAGGACACTCAAATATGCTTTCACACACTCTCACATTCACACACTGTTAGTGATGGTAGCTACTTTGTAGCCACAGCTGCCCTGGGGTGGTCTGACAGAGGTGAGGCTGCCATTTGGTGCCGTCGGCCCCTCTGACCACCACAAACACAGGCAAGATGGGTGAAGTGTCTTGCCCAAGGACACAACAGCAGAATACCCCTGGCAGGAGCTGGAATCAAACCATGACCCTTCGATCATGGGGCAACCCGCTCTACCTCCTGC